TTTTGATACATGACCGCACCTTACTAGCCTTTCAAATGGCAGACTGGCATTGCATACTTTTCAATTGATGTTATCCCTAACTCAGCCTAATTTATAATAAGTATAAGTGATTTGCGTGTTCTTCATTCCATTGCATTTATCTCTATTAAATCCCAACTGCCACTAGCTTACATTCCCACTCCCCCAAGTTTATCCAAATCCCTCTGTAGAGAAGTTATATTGTAAGACTGTATTAGGTAGGGAGGCTGGGTGGACTTAAAGCAAAATAAAAAATATTTGAGTACATAAGAAAATGTGTGTGAGTGTGTCAGTATCAGCATTTCTGTCAGTGAATGTGTGTCTGTGAATGAGCAAGTAAGTGTCTGTCAGTGTATCTGTGTGTCAGTGAATCTGTGTGTCAGTGAGTGTAAATGTCAGTGAGAGTGTGTCTGTCAGGGAGTGTAATTACCTGTCAATGTGGGTGTTAGTGAATGTATGTGTCTGTCAGTGTATCAGTGTTGTCAAATAAGTGAGCATGTGTCCATCAGTGAGTGCGTGTGACTGTCAGTGAATCTGTGTCTGTCTGCCAGAGTGTGTGAAATCAGCGAGGGTGTGTATGTCAGTGTGCGTCTGTCAGTGAATGTGTGGGTTGGCTAAAACATGTTCATGCCAATGACTGTGTGTCTGGCAGTCAAAGTGTGTGTTGTTGGTCTTAAACAGATATAGGTGTGGCCTTAACAGGAGGGAGTGGGGTACATTTAGATTAGGGGGTGCCGACATTTAGTCATGCCTAGGGAAGCACAAAACCAAAATCAGTCAGTGCTGGGGTGGCAATGTTCCCATGTAGTAGACAATAGCAGAGGGATGCTGAGCACACACAGAGTGTTTCTTTAATGCAGACTTGAGAAAGGCTCTGTGACAGAGCCAAAACGTTGTCAGCTTCAATGTACACATAAAGTCTGCATTGAATAAACACTGTGTATGTTTACAGACATCCTTCTGCTAGTTTCCTCATTGCAGCCTAACACTTGTTTTGTGAATTCATAAAGACTCAACAGCTTTTGTCAAATAGACAAGGGCAATCACTGAAATTCTTCTATTCTCTGGTTAGAGCAGCAGTAACATCACCACTTTACCAGTAAGTGTCTCTAGGTAAGATACCCAATGATATATATCTGCCCACCTCAAATCCTCACAGATTATAAACTTGTTTGAGCAGGGCCTTCTTAACCTATTCCCCTTTCTACAATTATAAAGTGCTGCAGAATATGTTGGTACTATATAAATGCTAATAATAGACAAATAATACATGAGAAGCGTTTTAAATCCAATGCTTCTCACAGAAAAGCACTGGGTGCCCTCAGCATCCAAATTAAGCATACGTTATATTTTGACTAGTGGCATAAAATGGATTTAGTTATTGAGATTGTTACAAATGCTGGTATTGTAGATACTCGTTCGCCTATTTCCTCCCGAACTGCTGAAGCCTGAGGGATTATAGCTCGCAGTTCGGGTGTAGATTCAAACGGTTCCCAGATGAATGCAGCATCCAAGTAGTTTCTCCCCAGCAAGTAGACAGTTACCCAAACATCAGCCTAGACTAGATGAAATGTTCAAAAGGAATGAAGTTTAATGGTGCCACACAGGCTTTTTGCAAATCCCCATGCAAGGGGCACTCCCACATGGACCTTGTGGGGGACCCCAACACAACGTTAACAACCAATCACACCAAGGCTACAAAGTATGACACTCCTCATACATCACACAATCTCTCCTCTCTGCCTGGGAGATAATTGAGTCAGATACAGTGATAACTCAATTATCTCCAGGCAGAATTAAAAAAACACGTTTTCCACAAAACTTAAAAGGTACCCCAAAACACATAACATCCCCCTAAATTATATCCCCTGATAGACCTGATCTGGTTGACCAACATATCCAAAAATCACCCAGATCAGTTCAGGGGTTTTGGAATTCTATGGATGTCTTAATTTGACCGACCGCACACAAGGCTCCTGCCCAGAAATAGTTCCATTAGTTTAGGTTGTGCAGTCTGTCTATTTTGTAAAGTCTTGAAACCAAACAAATACACGAACCGTACCTCTTGGCTCATAGCAGCGTTTGTTCCCCTAGTTCGTGGGAACAAAACTACCGAACAGCGCTCTCCTGGCTGTTTGGGAAAAGGAAGCAGGTGTTTGTAAAGTTTGACCGGTGTTCGGGAAGTCGAGTGTCCGATTTTAGTTCCAGACACTCAACGACCAAGTCTCGCTGCCTCCTTTCGTGCGAACAATATGGCCGCCGTTTTCTCCTGCACGTGGCATTTGATTATATGAACGGCGGCCACACAGGGAGAGCACTTAATTCTGTTCTCTTTGAAGTTAATGAGCCAGGGGGGTGGTCGGTGTTCGGTAGTTTCAACTACAGAACCAAAAAAGTCAAAGTCCCGAAAAAACTTTGTAGTTTCATCACAGAGTCTAATTGTGTCAGAAGTCCATACTGACTTTATGCATAACAGCCACTAGAAGATTTTATATTTCCATTTTCAATGCTGCATGGACAGCTTCCAACCTCAAAATCACTTTTATGAGGTGGAGTGATTTGGGTGCATAGTCCCTTTAATGATAGTTTGCATCAGTTATGCTGTGTAATAAATACAAATATAGGGTGTGATTCATTAATATTAGTTACAAGCATGGATGAAAAGTGACCCAAAGCTGATGATATGTTTTTATGAATAGTTCCTGTTTTCTCATGTTAATACCTGAATTAATAACACTGTTATTGATTTAGTTGTAATTAATTGTGTTTGCAAAATAATTAGGTTTAAGTTATGATTTGAAAATAGGAAAAAAACTTCTGCTTTCTTAACTGATTAAGGTTATTTATCCGTAATTAAGAGCTTGCCATTAGAGTTATTAATTACATATGTAATTTTCTGGAGTTTACAAATTGGTGTGTATTAAATTGATTATTGGCTCAGTTCAATCAGTTAAGCTTACAGTACAATAAAAATACAATAACAATAATAAACAGCAACAATAGCAGCAATATCAACTTCCTATGAATGTTAAATTGTTAAAGGGACACTATAGTCACCTAGACCACTTCAGCTCAATGAAGTGGTCTGGGTGCCAGGCCCCTCAGGTTTTAACCCTTCAGATGCAAACATAGCAGTTTCAGAGAAACTGCTATGTTTATATTGCAGGGTTAATCCAGCCTCTAATGGCTGTCTTCCTGACAGCCACTAGGGGTGCATCTGCGATGCTGGATGCGAATTTCGCATCCATCACACAGAGCGTCCATAGAAAAGCATTGAGAAATGCTTTCCTATGGATACTGTGAATGCCCGCGCACCATTTGCTGCGCATGCGCATTCTGCGCCACTGACGTCTGATGGGGGAGCTGACGTCGGACGTGGGAGCTGACGTCGGAGTGGTCACCAGCGCAGAGAGAGCCCAGCGCTGGAATAAGGTAAGCTGCTGAAGGGAGGGGGACCCTGAGGGTTGCGGCACCCTCAGGGCACTATAGTGTCAGGAAAACTGCTTTGTTTTCCTGACACTATAGTGATCCTTTAACTAAAACCACGGGCTCAAATTACTATGTGGTGTGAAAATCACTAACAACGTCCTTATTATTGGATAAGCTTTTTAAATGATTTAATATTTTAGGATACACTTTGAAAATACATTTTCAAAATATGAAAACATCAAAAAATATAACATAAAAATATATCAATATATAAAATACTATTAAAATAATAAAATATTTTTTTCAAAATATTACAAATGTTTAAATGTTTATCCAAACATATTAAATCATTTGAAAAGCTCATCCAAAAATTATAAATTGGGACCAAAATGAGTTGCATACTGGCTATGTTATGTGTGGAATATCCAATTGCAGTGTATGGATTTATAGTCATCAGTGCTGAGGGAGATGCTGGTAAAACATGGTGTAAGTGGTCAGTTACTGCAACAAACATTGAAACATCATTGCTGTTGGTGCCCATAAAGTAACTAACATAATATATATATATATATATATATATAAAAAAAAAAAAGGTAGGGATCACCATTTAGGTAGGGTAAGCACAGCATCGATCCCAGACCCCATGGTTTGGGGAGCCTAGAATGTATGCATTGTTCTAAGGCTAATGTCTTTGATCGATGGGCAGAAAGATAAATGCCAGCTACTGCCAACACTGTGCAGCACTGCCCCATGAAACACCTCCAGTGGCCATCTGAGGAGTGGCCACTGGAGGTATCCTTAGGCTGTAATGTCTTTTCTCTGAAGAGGCAGTGTTTACATGAAAATGCCTGCAGGGAATGATTACAGTCACCAGAAAAACTGCATTAAGCTGTAGTTGTTCTATTGACTATTGTGTCCTTTTAAGATTAGTGTTAGTGGCATTATGTTATGGTAGTGTGAGGAAAGTGTTAGGACAGCATCATGGACAGGTCTGGGTTAAGAGTGTTAACCCAAATAAATATATTGCTTTGTTTCATTTTGTTTTTAGTAACCTCCTATGCAACTTTACTAGTATTACCATCCATCGCACTGCAAACTGGGTGGATAAAGCGTGACCCACCTGATTAGTATTGGGTTAGTTTACCAACTGACATGCATTGGGTATGGATGAGAGATGCTTGTTATTCACTGATTAAATTATGAGATATCAAGGACTGACACGGTTATATTTGTTGTTTTATTTGTTTATTTTTATGTATTTTATCCTGTAGGCATCACTGACTGGCACCAAATATCTATCAGCACCTAATGTATGGTCCCACTAGCAGTATAATTTACACCAGAAAATTGACCCTTTTGTACCCTGAAACTTGGAGAATTTTCTAGTAAAAGGATAACGGCGTCATCGTGGGTCCTGTGATTTCCTATGGATTGTTCTTGATCCTGTGAGATGCTATTTTTTTTTTTTTTTTTTGCCAAAGCAGATCAGATATGCCAGCTAGTGAATTGCATTTTTTGCACAATGTAATTTTTTGCATCCATTGTCTGGTGGGCTTAAGTGTTTATGTATTTTTTTTTAAATTAAATGACATTATAACATGGTACAGGTATTCCATTTGCCAATACAGTTTGCCTTATTTAACCTACTTCTTATTTACATAAAGTGGACCTGTCATCAAGTGTTTGGATAACAAAGTTCTTCTCAGAAAAGCCATGAAATCTAATCTATACATTATGCTCACAAAATCACTGTTCTTCTGTGCAGAAGATAACTTCTATTCAAGCACCGACTAGTAAAAATGTTATTAGCGTGTCCAGCTATGGGGATTACATTTTGTGATCACATACTATGAATTATGTCAAAAGAGTTCTACTGTTGGCATTTATATATCAATGCTGGCAGCAAAAATGTATTATTTCAAGAGGACGTTCATGTTTTAAAAACCTGTACTGCATGGTGTGACTGACGCTGTACAACGCAAAGCCACTAATCTCAAAGCAGCATACATGTCTGGGCCTGCCTAAGATTAATAAGAGTTTCATTCCCAGGCAGCATCTATTATTTACATTTGCACTCATTAATTCATCCCTTTTCCCAAAACTGATATTCAGAGAGAGTGACTAGAGAAACAGAGATAGTGTGATTCTCTTTTCTTAGCCCCTCTCCCATGGAGATAAGCTATATTCAAAGGATATGCAAGTTACCATAACCACTTAATGTCAATGAAGTGGTTATGGTGCCGGGGTTAATCGGTATTGTTATACCTTTAAGTTTTAAACTGTTTTTGAAAGGTTTAACACTGAAGCAGAGTTCAACATGCACTAGTCCAGCTTCCTTTCTGGAACTGCTTGTCAAATGCGAGTCATTCTTCAAAAATGTACGATGCTGAAGAATACTTGCTATTGGCACCCAGTGACTGTGAGAGTGTATACCACTGCTTGTTGTGCAAATGCTTCTGCTTTTGCTGAACAGTTACAGAAAAGAAGCATTGAACTTGGATTACTCTAATTCAGTTTTAATCTATTCAAAAATGGTTTAACACGTGAAAGTAAGAAGGTGCCCAGGAAAGACATTATGAGGTGGTTATGGTGCTGGAGTATTCCTTTAGGGACATCTGCTTCAGGCTTGGTGTGCAACTCCTAACATTCTTGTACATATTGGGACATATATGTCCATGTGTTGCCTTATTGAAGGAACTGAAAACATTAATCCTAATTTTAACAAAGCACGTATTATACAAGATTGATAATGCTGAAATACGCGTTAGGAGAAAATAATGCCGTTTTGTGGTTCTGAAGGAATGCACAAGTCATACAATCCTTTACTGGCATTAATTTCCCATAAGATATGATAAGAGTTCTGTATACTATAAAAACTTTAACATTTAAATAAGGGGTATATTGATGTAATTCTTTTTAAAGGTGACAAATCTGACCTACAAATAAGAAAAGGGCAAATTAACATGAATATTTGTGCAAAACGTATACCTGTGCTGTGTGTATACCTGTGCTTCCTAATCAATATTAAATATATTCCAAAAGATCTCATGTTTTGTAACTGAAGAAGAACAAGGAAAAGACCAGTATACATCTAAGTAATCCCACATCAAAGCACAGAGCCCAAACCACTTTCACCCCTCCTTGTAATGGTTTTCTTCCTGCAGAAGATCCCTTGTGCCATGGCTTGTGTGAGATGGGACTGAAGGGTGGTCTGATCACAATGCCTTCTTTTGGAAACTGTAGAGAGAAGAAGATGAATTTCAAGTGTATTCACAGCCAAGGGAAGGAGGGGAGGGGGGCTAGTTGACAGCGCCCCCTCTAAGCCTTTTTTCCTACCGCCCTCTCCCCTTACCTGAGTTCAATTCTTAGGAAATCTTTCTCAATGTGGTCTTTTGTCCCAGGGCGTATTTAGGAAATTTCAGAAAGAGATCAAGGTAAAAAAGGAAGCAAAGGGATGGGAGTATAGAGGCTGGAACAAAAAGAGGGCTGTTCTGTTCTCTCCGCTGCCCCCTCCATTCTCTATCCCACCCCCTCTCTTCTTATCAGTATCCCTATCTTCTAGGTTGAGTCCTTCTGTACCATTTATAATGACTTCTCAGTAGCAGCCAATCCAGAGTCTCCCATAGCCACCCCCTCCTCATTTGCCACTGTTTATAAATGAGCCAGCTTGCAATCTGAAAGGAGAACGTTTGCTTACATTTCTATTACTCTATTTCAAGTAGCTCCACTTCAGTTACCTCTAGCACACCTAGGGACCTATTGGTGAGAGCACACCTAGGATACCAAGCTGCCAGGTAAGAAATAAAAGGAAATAACAATTAACTGCTCTATTTCATGCTCAGTGGGACCTGGTAAACCTGTAAAAGTTTATTGTAGTACGATACTTGTTTGTGGGGCAAAAACAGTTAAATGACATTTTATGCGGTTTGTCTTTTTTCTTGCAAATCTTGACCTTTTCCTCCCCTTGTTTTTTTATTTTTCTAAATTCTTATATTAGAATAGATACAATTATTGATGCAATTACAGTTGTTCTCCTTCTTTTGTAACCGTTTAAGGAAAGCACATGTGAACATACTCCATCAGATAAATTATGAATACGTATCAAATATTTCTAACACTTAATGACTAGATCTGAAAATAGTAAAATATTTCATTTATACAGACCACATTTATCCACTGTGAATTGATTTATTCCAAATACATTCCTTTTTTTGTGTGTGTTTTTTATTTATTATTTTTACATTACCAGTTTTAGTTCCCTCATTTGCATTTTATGATATTTTGTTGTAAAATTGTGACGGTCTATTTGTCTGCTCTGTTCAGGCTGTGTGATTTGAGAATTCCTGTAACTGGGACCCAATGATGCACAGTGACATATTATTAGTTGATTTTAAGATTGAGACTAAACATATTCATCATATGTGACGTGCAGGAGATTGGCAGATTATTTATGTTAAGTAAAAGGGCAATAGAGGCAAGGTGAGTAAAGGGCAATAAGGTGTGTGCTGTATCCAAACATAGAGCTATTTTAAATCTATGTTGCACCATTATTGGAACACACATACCTCTTACCCCCGTGATACAGTACTCATGATGATCACCCCCTCTTTCTACACATATCACGACATTGAGTTATTCGCTAAACTCCAAATATTAGCCATTTGAAAACAAAATAGTTCAATCTAAGCTAAATTTGCTGAAATGAAAAGATTATCACTCTTAGTTACTGCTTGGAAATTTTAGCCTAGATTTTGTCATTCTGTTTTCAATTTATTACAATCCAGATTTAGTGAACAGACCCCATACTTTTCACCTCCTAATACAGAGGTATTGGTGCCCATACCTCCCATCTCCTCATAATACAAAGGCATCAATGTACATAACTCCTTCATATTGCACATAGTGCTCACCTCCTTCTAACACACAGATATTTAGGCTCTCTCTCATACCTCTGACATCTTCTTAATAAACAGTTACCAGTGCACTCATATCATATCTCCATCTAATACACGGACATAAGTCCATATATCCTCCTAATACAATGGTATCAAGGTACACACCTCTCTCCTTGACTAGGGCGCATAGCTCACACCTATAATACCAATATCACAGCTTATATCCCTCACCTTCTTATAAAACACAGATTTAATTACACGGTTGTCTTGGCTAAGACATTAGGGATTTATTCACTAAACAGCTATTTGCTGTGGATTTAAATGTAATTGAAAAATGTAAACAAAAACATGATTTTGAAGAATTGGTCATATCTGCTATAGCCACAGCTTGATTTATCACACATTTTAGCATGGAAAAATAGATATTTGGTACAAATTCATATCTGATCTTAATAGACTGCAAGTGATACATATATGATGCAAAACATCAGAAAGCAATTCTGATACCAAGTAATACAATTACAAACACCCATCTATCTCCCTCTAATACACAGGCATCAGGATCTATATCCCTCACGTTTCCCTAATAAACAGGCATCATGATGCATAATTTTACCTCTCTCTAATACACAGATATCAGGACACATACTCCTACCCTATTACAATGTCTATACTGGCAGGTAGGGGGTTAGCAGTACCTGTCTTTGTCAGGAAAGACTCTCAAAGTGACTTCTAAACACTACTGAATCTTATCAAAGAGCAAAACACTCACATTACTGTGGAAAATAACTGATAGGGCAGATATGATGTGGAACAGCACCATTAACTCCTTCCTGGCTAAAGCAAGGGGCACATCAAGGTCATGTTCATGCTATTACTAGATTCAGAGAAAAAAGTGACCCATGTATAAGCTTTCTATAAAGCAATGGGCACTATAGCAGGCACATTTACAAACCTAGACACTGCAGATTAAGAACCATAGTAATGTATGGATTGCTTAAAAATGAATCCTATTTTATTACAGGAGTTTTAACATAGTCCATTTAAGGCAGGGGGGCCCAAAAGGTAAATCCCGAGATGTTTTAAAACTACAGTTTCCATGATGCTTTGTCATTCTGAAGCATTCTAAAGGCATGCAAAGTATTATGGGAGTTGTAGTTCTACAACATCTGGGAAGCTACCTTTTGGGCACCCCTGATTTAGGGTCTTGCTATGTATTTAATACTGAGGACAGGCCTGGATGTACATCTCAAGCACTCCCCTAGTATTGTTTGCTCCTTGTTTTTGGGACATAAGACAGCTCAAATAACATATAAAAAGGAAATGAGAGGTAATAAATAATAATAATATTATATATATATATATATATATATATATATATATACACACACACTTTTTTCCTCATGGAGGTCCCCTTGGTGGGACTGAAACGTCAACTTATTTTTTTAACATGTATCAATAAAAGCTAAGTATTTTACTGTAATCTGGCCACTTCATTTGAAGTCCTTTGAGTGCGGTCATTACCTTGGACATTAGTAACCTTGGATGGGTTACTACACTGACCTTTCACCTTGCTTCTGGCAAAGATATCTCTAATGAGACAGAGAGGGGTATTTTTATATACTTATTAACCCTTAATAGGGAACACATTGGATGGGCAGCAACATTGTAACATAGCTGTGTGATACAAAAAGGGAATACAAATATAAAAAAAAACAAGTCCTGCGTTCAAACTCCCATCACTCCTGGGCAGCAGATTGGGGCTGATGTGTACTGTGGTCCTTGCTGCTGCCCAGGAGTAATGGGAGTGAGCGCAGGGCTATGTTACAATGCAGCCACCCATCCCATGTGTTTCCTATTAAAGGACCACTCTAGGCACCCAGACCACTTCAGCTTAATGAAGTGGTCTGGGTGCCAGGTCCTTCTAGGGTTAACCCATTTTTTCATAAACATAGCAGTTTCAGAGAAACTGCTATGTTTGTGAATGGGTTAAGCCTTCCCCTATTTCCTCTAGTGGCTGTCTCATTGACAGCCACTAGAGGCGCTTGCGTGCTTCTCACTGTGATTTTCACAGTGAGAGCACGCCAGCGTCCATAGGAAAGCATTATGAATTTCCTATGTGACCGGCTGAATGCGCGCGCAGCTCTTGCGGCGCGTGCGCATTCAGCCGACGGGGAGGAGAAGAGGAGGATCGGAGGAGGAGAGGTCCCCGCCCAGCGCTGGAAAAAGGTACGTTTTTACCCCTTTCCCCTTTCCAGAGCCGGGCGGGAGGGGGTCCCTGAGGGTGGGGGCACCCTCAGGGTACTATAGTGCCAGGAAAACGAGTGTTTTCCTGGCACTATAGTTGTCCTTCAAGGGTTAATAAGTATATATGGGTGTATATAAAAAAAAAAAAAAAACCTCTCTCTTTCATTAGAGATATCTTTGCCAGAAGCTAGGTGAAAGGTCAGTGCAGGAACCCCCCGAGGGGGTCTGCCTTGACGTTGGCAGGCGGGGAATTCCCTCCAATGGCCATTGGAGTAACTAAATGACCTCCATTTGTTTAAATATACATAGGGATGTAGGAGAGAGCGCAGGTAACTTTTTATTTGTTTTTTACTGCATGTATTGGGGCTGATGTGTACTGTGGTCGTTGCTGCTGCACAGGAGTAATGGGAGTGAGCGCAGAACTTTGTTTTTGTGTGTGTGTGTGTGTGTGTATATATATATATTACACCAGGACAGACAAAAAATCCATAGTCCGCTATAGGCTCACTCTGCCTAAGGGCCAATTCATTGCGGGATAAAAAGTAAGAGTTCCAAGTGATTTCAATGTGAATTTGAAATCTTTGTCCAAAGTAGCCGAACTGGAAGCACAACTGACTTTATTTTCCAATTCAGCAAGAGAAAATTGAAACTAAAAAGGTTTTTGTTAGGATCTCTAATGGAAAAAGGTTAAACATATATTGTATGGTTTCAATATTATCTAAAAGGTTAAATTTGTTGCATTTTGCAGTTTTAAATGGAATAAGCACTGCAATGGTTAAATCATCATGTTGAGAACTATTAAAGTCTGTTAACACTGAACCCCTTATCGACATAGTTATATTTGCTGCTACAGAAGCACTTGAGCACATATGACTTAATTAGCCTCCTTCACATTGATCAACTCAAAGAAAGTTATGTAATCTGAGTAGTCCTAAAAGTGGAGGAAATCAGCAGGAACATTCCACTGGTTTCCACGCTGTATGTTCCACTTTTAGAATGTTGCACTAAAATTGTTCTATAATAAACTCCATTGCGTTATGCTAACTCCTGGCACCATAACCACTACAGTGCAACCATAACCTTATGCTGTAGAGGTTATGGTGTCAGGAGTACTCTGGCACCCCATCAACGTAGGCAAACTGTTTGCCAACACTTTGCCATCTAACCTGTATTCTGCTGGTCACCTCCTCAATTGAGAGCAAAGAGCTCTCAGTTCCTAGGTAGTCCAGTGGTGCAGGTTGTAGCTAAAAGAGATGGCCGTAGATGGTAGTGCTTAGCTCAGGAGCGCTAACATCAGTTTCCTATAGGAGCTTCTGGCTCTCAATGCAAGTGACTGGCGTCAGGTGACTTCAGGTAAATTGTCACAGTTAGCAGACCGTTTAACTATTTACATTGCCAGATGACCATGGCTC